TCACATGCATATTTTAAAATTTAGCACAGTATAGCAAGTAGTTTATTCTATTATTACAGTTAGATATTCTATTGAGCACAGTTCTGGTTCTGCAAATGCATGCTTATATTAGACTCACATGTTCGTCCTTTGAGGTTGTCATTGCATTGATGTTGTATGCTTATCTCTGTTCATGTAACGCACACTGCCTGTTTGTTCATTCAAAGCCATGATTACAGTAAATGAGAGCCAGACGATCTCGTTCAGCGCTTCTATGAAGTCATTCCAAAGAAATCTCATAATTAATTTTCTGCCATCATTTTTTTTCCCTGTTAAACAAGCCAGTAAATATTGTCTGCTCTGCTTGAGATGTTATCTAGCCCGACCGCTCCAGTTGTTTATTTGATGCAAGCAATTTGGCAAAATAGCTGTCACGATTAGTTTTAATGGGAGAAACACTTTAACAACTAGATAGAATGAATATGTTGAGTGAGTGAGGCAGACAACACAAAAGAGGTCACATGTTCAGACGTCACCCTTGGAACTGTGGAAATTGGAAATTTGTGGTGGCATTGGAGCTAATACGTAAAGTGGTTTCATAAAGCGTCGTTAGCTTAAGTAGATCGTAGAGACCAAGGCAGTTCAAGGCGAAAGAGGGTCAAACACAGCGTTAGTATGGTGTTCCTACTAATCCTTTTGGCGAGTGTATATATCACTGAAAAAAATTAACAAGGAAGGTTGTGCACTTTACATAATATATTAATATTTAGCTTAATTACAATAATTGTGTTTTTTGACTTGAAATGTTTCTATGTAATTATGTCTCAACTTAACAGTACAAAATCCTAACGCGTTGCCTAAACACAAACCATTTATGTTAAGTAAAAAATTCTTACATCCAGAGGGTGGAGCCATTTTGCCCAAACTTAATTTGATTGTGTTCAATCTTCTTAATTATATGTAACATTTAAGTTTACTTAATCCGCTTGTGTTGGATTACATGATCGATTTGTGCTGCATTAACCGAAACTGTGCGGGCGGTGCTTGTTAGTTCCCAGCATGCTTTGCATACGGTTGAATTAAGAGAGAATAAATGTTAAAATGAAGTGTTTTTTTACAGTAAATGAGAAAAGGGAAGATTTGATAGTTTGTAATTGTGTTTAATGTTCAATTCTACATCTAAATTGTTAGAACCATTTAAATTACAGTGGGTTACCATTGTGGAAAAGAGTGGACCATTTTGTTTGGTTGTCGAGCATGTTAATCTTCGCATTTAAGATGCTAATAAGGGCTACTGCCAGCAAATAGCTAGTAATTACCCATCAATTTAATTATGTGTCACAAAAATAAATATTAAAATATTAATATAAATATTTTAATATTTATAATAAAATCATATTTTAATATTTTAAATAAAATATTTAAAATAAATTAAATATTAATGGATTAATGACTATACAAAATACCTGAATCATGTCAAGAAGCCTTTACAAAAATCAAGACTACTTTAATAGGGACGCTTAAATTAAATGTTGAAGTTACATGAACAAATGACGTTTGTTTAACGTAACCCAGTTATGTGGAACCTGTTGACGAAAAAGAATGAATTAAAGAAGCCAACATATACATTTTGAGTGCATATGGGGTACTTTGCAGAGCTTTTTCATGCACACTAAAGACAGCTGAAAATGCAAAGCACAGTAGGTCCTCTTTAACTTTTGTATTTGTGTCTGTTTTCTTTCAGAGATATTCAGTTCTGGGAACTCACTTTTAAAAGTAGGTCTTTTTTATACAGACAAGTAAGTACAAGTTTTGTTTCCCTATAAACATGATGGCTATGTTGCATTATCGGATGCCTGCCTCCTAGTGTTAAATGTGTGACTCTGCACCGTTTTATTCCACTAGTTTAAAAAGAACGTGTCTGTTGATGTTATATAACGTTTGCCCTCACAGGTGCGGAGGATGACTGGGGCGCTGGTTGCTGTTGGTCAGGGTAGACTGTCTGTTAGTCAGATTCAGGAGCTACTAGAGGCCCGGGATTCATTGGCATTCCCAAATAATCTGACGGCCCCAGCCCACGGCCTGTTTCTGACCCAAGTACAGTACAGAGATGCAGGTGAGAACTCAGGATGTTCTCATTCTCTATGCAGTATGTATGTAAATCGACCATATATGCAAATTTGAGACTACCCAGAACAATTCAGAACAACATAAACTCCCACAAAGCAATGCTATTGAATTGGCCCGAGTGCAACAGTCGGTTTCCGGAAAACTCCATAGGGAAATACATTTTTATAGACGCCTTATAAACCATTAAAGACAGACCTACTGTGAGCTAGGAGGTTGATAATTAATGACAGCCTGCGTTATTTGAACTTATTCTTAAAACAATCGTGTTTAACGTGGATTTAGCCATCCACCTATCAGAGAATCACAAAATTGTAAATTGTAAAAAAAAAAGTGTTTTTGTCAGATTTTTTTAATACTTTGTAATGTTATGGTTCTGATTGGCTTGTTTCATCGCTTATTAACGACTTCAACGAAATCAAAACCAGTGCTGCTAAAAAGGTGGATGGGCACTAATGCACTGTAATCATTTTATATATATATATATATATATATATATAGTGGCTCATGATTTGATCAAAATGTTAAATAGATATTTTTATATAAAATTGGATTAGAAATGTGACATTTATAATGTTAATATTTAATATAACATTTTTATTCAATTCTGAAAAGATATATGGACTGCACTCACTAAATTAAACATGCTGCAATGTGAGGTCATGTGATCAGTGTAGCATACTGTTGTATAATGCATGCTGTTTAATATACTACATTTAAATAATAGTATACTATACTAATATATATATATAAAACTATCATTCAGCCATTCTCTACAAGTACCGATTTCCTGCACTGTATGTTGACCTGCTAAGGGCAGCAAAGTACATCAGTATTAAATGTGTATACTTTTTTTCTTACAGATCTTGGCCGACTGGACACTGATAGAATTATTTAAACGATTATTAAAAAAATTAATTAAAAAAATCTGAATGAAGTATTGTTTTTATTATTTTTCGCTGACACCTGCCTGTTTAAACCTGTGTTAAAGTTCTACATACACACATATTTATACATGTCTGGAGACTGATTTTTCAATACAGTATTTTAGCGAAATGGAATGAGGTGAAACACAAAAATTCTAATTTTTGATTGAATTCATGAGCTGCGTTTTGTTTTGCACTAATTGACCGTTCGCAAAGACCCTTTAGTTACTTTTATGTCCAACAAGCCCACAGACAGTAAAATAAATGGACACAGGACCCCATAGACTGTATAGTGAAGTCAATTAGAAGCACTCACTTCTTGATGGCTGAGCGACTGAGCTGGACGACGGAGATGTGACGTGAGCAACCGCTCTGACTGCTGTACGACATCTAGTAGCGGTGCTGCCGAGAGCAATCTGAATCATTCCCTTCCGAATCTTGCAGAGCCGGAGAGCGCGAGCAGGAGCATATGGAAGATTCTTTCCGCAACTGAATTAAAAATAAATGAATAAATAAATAAAATATTTTCATCTCACAATTGCGAGATATGAAGTAAGAATTGTGAGAAATAAAGTTGCAATTGTAAGAAAAAAAAAAAAAGAGAAATTGAGACTTTTTGTCTCAATTGAGTTTACATCTCGCAATTCTGACATCTTTTCTCAGAATTGTGAGATATAAACTCGCAATTGCGATTTATCAGGCCAATTCTAAGGAAAAAAAGACTTAACTTTTTTTCCCCTCAGACTTTATATCTCTGACTTTATATCTCTCAATTCTGACTTTATATCTCTCAATTCTGACTTTATATCTCACAATTCTGACTTTATATCTCTCAATTCTGACTTTATATCTCACAATTCTGACTTTATATCTCACAATTCTGACTTTATATCTCACAATTCTGACGTTATATCTTGCAATTCTAAAAAATAAAGTCAGAATTGCGAGATGAAAAAGTCGCTATTACCTTTTTTATTTTTCATTAAGTGGTGAAAACAAGCTTCCATAGGAGCAACTTTTGGTAAATGTTCTGATGAATTAATGTCATTTTGCATAGTATTAGTTTATTTTAAAATTTAACGGCAGTACGCCATATTAAGTTAATACATAAAATTAAGTTGTTGTGTAAAATGATATTCAAGAACTTGTGATATGAACTGATACCCAATAGGCATATGTAAGGAGATAACATACCAACAGGCTAATTATTGCTAAGTAAATGCTAGTTAATATTAGTAATTAAAGTTAAAACCAGATCCAGACTCAAAACACTTTTGTTTAGCTATGCATTTACCGACAGAGCACTGTACCACTGTTCATCCGACTTACTGTATTTTATTTCATTTTTTTATTCTAAACCGTTTTAATTATTTACTGTATTTTATTTTTTTATTCTAAACTGTTTTAATTAATCTGATTATTGTCATTTCTATGTAAAGCAATTTGAATTACCATTGTGTATGAAATGTGCTACATAAATAAACTTGCCTTGCCTTTAACAGCTAATGTAAGTCAAATAAGTCACATTTATAATTTAACCACCCAAGAAACGCATATTTTAAATAAAATTTTAGCACAATGAAGAGAAATGGAGGAATCAGTCATATGAACAAGCTATCCAGTAAATCACTTTGGACAAAACCGTCTGGCCTGTTAAATAACATATATGTTATATATAACTAATGGTTGTCCACTTCATTTTTCTTTCCTCATAGGTTCAAATACTAACGTTTTATCTGCACTAAAGCGTTGTTGGCCATGTAGCTATAATATAATTTAAATTAAAGTCAAATATAGAAAGCAACACATTGACTGTAAGAGAGAATAAAATAATAAATGAACCTTGTGTAATACCTATATTGTAATATTATTTCAATGAACAGATAACAGCAATTCATTTGCGTTTTATTTTATAGACTTTTTTCTGGACAAAAATAAATCAATCAACGGCCCGAGACAATTTACTTGTGTGTGTGTTAAATATGTTTACTGACAAAACAATGTTCTGATTGTGTTTGCTGTACGCTATTAACAGGTCCAGTGATTTGGATCATGGGGAAGAGAGGGCCAGAGAGACCACAGGGTCACTGGTTTGGACTGGTTTGGTTTGGAATGGTTAGAAAGTCCCTGGATGGCCTTGATGGAGGGTGTGAGGAAGCAGTGATGCGTCGGGCAGTTTTCCCAACACCGCTAAAGAAAGCCTTGGTGGAAACAAGCAGCTTCTCTTTCAGATCATTGACAACTGAAGAGAGAGAGACTTCACTTTCTGCTTCAGTCTTCTCACTCTCTGCTCTTGAAGCTTCAATTGTTTCTTGCAAGAAAGCAAGCAACTTTCAGCATCTGACAACTTCCTCTTTAGAGGACTGAGGGAATCTTTGAGTGTGTATGCTCCGTGATCGGCAGAATGGCTGCTGCCGGCTTCACCTATCTCGGCTGTCTGTGGTTCATAGTGAGTGCCACTGTTGTAATCATGGTCAAGACTGAAGTTCCTGCGTATATCAACTTTTGTGTCAAAGTCGTCCTCTCTAACCGTTGTGTTCTCACTGACGCTTACTCTGGTGTGCCTCACCTCGACCTTCACCTGGCAGTGGGGGTAGAAGATGGTCGGCACCGCGTCTGGTTTGAGTCTGTTTCGTTCCATGTCAGTGATGATGCAGTCCGGCGTGAAGTGAAGCGAGCAGAGGCGAGAATACTTGTTTGGTGTCCAGCCCTTTCTCTTGACATTGCGTATCCACTTCTGCAGCCTTTCTTTATCATTGAAGGGGAACCTGCAAAAGCATATCACATTGATTGTTCGAATTAAATAAATCAACTGCAGTGACAATGCACAAGCTGATCTGTCACTCACATCCAAACAAAACAATAAAATGTGGCTTTGTTGGCATAGGCCAATTAAAATTGGTAGAAAGCATTCAACTGGGCACTATAGGCTATTGTATTACACACACCAATATGAATGTGCATACAGACATGCACACACACTATATTCACAATTTTTTTTTATATTATAGCAGTCATTCACTTAAAATAAACCTGTTGTTGTGGCATGAGTACCCCGGTTTCTCTGCAGCTGATGATGAGGCCGAACCAGCACATCTGATGCAAGCACACTTTGACTAGTTCATTTTAATTAACATTTTATATATTCTCTATATTGACAAGGCCTTTTTGGATGTTGGTTTATAGCCTTTGTGAGCACTTGAGCTTAACTGAGAGTTTGTAGACGTTTAAGGCTGTTGTGTCGACCTTGATTTATAGCAATTTTAAGGTGTTTAGCTTTATTTTGATTTGAGAAAATGAACATGATTCCTCATCTTACAAATCTCTCAGCTGTCGAGGTCTACGTGCACCTTATTAACCTCATTCGTTATGACTAAAATACTTAAATACTGTTGAAAACAGATAGCCTACTCTAAGACTTTTACTCAAGTTGTATTGGAATTGGTGACTTTTTCTAGTGGATTATTTTTTTACTGTGAGGTATCTGTACTTTTAGTCAAGTATGGTTTTCGAGTAACGTTAGTCTTTACCCCTCTGTCAGGCCTATATGATTCAAATAATCGTAACCTTGCATTATACTGATGGAGACACTGGACTTACCTGAAAAAGCTTAATCCGGAAGAAGAGACTTGTCTTTTAGAACATTTGTATGCTACACAGCAAGACATGTTCGCAGAAAGGGAATAGTCCAGCACCCAGTAAGCGTTTCTCCAATGCGGGCCGCCATTAGCTAGCAAGCCATCAAATGCTGTTAGCATCCCATTGACTCCAATTCATTTTGGCGTCACTTTGACAGTGAATAACTTTAGATCTGAGGCGTTTAAAATTTCAATTTGTCCATTGTTTATTTCTAAAGAAACACGACAATGTATAAAAGTCTCAATTACCTTGTATCTTATGTTATGGTCCCGTAGAAGCCGTTTTTGTAAAAATAGGCTAACGATTGCGTCATAACCACGCGACTCTGTCGCACAGTAGTGCTAGCGAAAATACCGTGTAGACAGGAGGAGAAGCTCGCAGGCAATCTTTTACCGTCTATGAGGCAATCGGGGGGACATATCCTTACTGTAAACCATAGGTTAACTGTATACTACTGTCTTACTACACTGCACTATGTCACTCATTTACTGTTACTTTTACACTAGCACTACCTGTACTTTTTTACACTTTTGGTTAGACACTAACTGCATTGAATTGTCTCTGTACTTGTAGGCTGCTCTACACATTTACAATAAAACTACATCTAGTCTAATCTGGCATTTCCTCAGTAAGCCATTCTATCGTGAAGTTCTAAAACATAAGTAATAAAAACACATGACATTTCTGTCAAAGTATGTCTACTTGAAGTGTTTACTGTGTGTCGATAATAGATATTGAATCATTTGGTTGATAAATAAATATATTTTACTGTCTATGGGCGGATTATGACTGGTCACATCACCTGTCAATCAAACTATTTATTATTGCAGCTCAGAGATGGCATGAATGCATTTACACTGCCATGAGATTAATGGGTTTCAATTGGGAATTAAAGAGATAGTTCACCCAAAACGATAACTCTGTCTTCACTTACTCTCTCGTGTTTTTAAACCTGTATGATTTTTTTCTTCTATGGAACATAAAAGATGATTTGAGAAATGTCTCTGTATTTGTTCATAGCCTACTAAGTCGATGGTAAACAACAGTTTGATTGACAATCTTCAATATATATTTTATGTATTTTAACAAATGTTATCCTTAACATTTAAATATGTATAGCCTAAAGTAAATTATATAGACACTATTATATAAATAAAACAAATGACAAAGATACTTAGATTCATAGTTTTATTCTACCACACATCATTCAGGCATCAATATGCAGCAAACCCGAGAGGCGCTGGATCTGTTCGTTTGACCGAGATCTACACACACATTCCTCATCCTGTAACGTCCAGACACACACAGTCTGTCATAACACAACTTTCAAAGCGATACATACTCTTTTGTCATCAACAACAAGTTGAGGAGGTGAAATATGGAAATTATTAATAATTTCAAATGGCTGATTTGTCATCTGTAAATGCATGTTTGTTGATAACCAAAACAAATCTTTTGCATGTAATAGACATTGTTACAAAAGCATCGTGAACATGAGACACATCACTGTGACCACCAGCGTCGTGGAAACATCAATGAATAGTCCTCAAGCATTATGGTTATTTCAGTAACGTGAGTAAAAAAAAAAAAAAAAGTGTAGCAATGATTATGCAAGAATGTGTTTGATATAGATGACTCCATTTATTATCTGATGCAACACCAGGTTTCTGTGTTGGTTTCTACAGTCCTTTCATTTATCAGACTTGTTCACAAGAAAAAATGCCCCAAAAATAAAACCCTCTATTTAATATGTCAAATATGATTGACAGCTTGAACCAAACTGAGACAGATGAACAAGGCATTAGATTGATCAATGTAGTATCTCATCATCAAATAGTCTTCCCTTCAAAGATGCGACTGACACACTTTACCCCAACGAATATACGTGTATAATGTAGCCGAGTAATGTCGGTTGGTTCAATTAAAACATTCCATAATATAAAATCATTTGCTATGTCTACCCTGAAGTATGCAGTGAGATTGTAGATGCCTTTGACATGTTTAAGGCGGCTGTAAAATGGGAATGTGGCACAGCCTTCTGCGGTTACAAACCTGATCGCTTACAGTTCAATGCAGATGGGGATCACACATAACTGCTCTCATTACACTGCATCTGTTGAACATGCCAACTATTTCACTCTTTGTACTTATTAAATATGCATGACAAGATCATCACAATGAATAGACCATGCATTAATCCAAGTTGAATCGAGTACTGACAAACCCAATGGAGGCACAAATCTTTGGCTTTTTTATGATTTTAGACTAACAAAATGACTTTGGCATCTTTTCCTTTTAATTCAAAGCCAATAACAGCCAGCATACTTTGAGTGGAAATGTTTTACGTCGTGAGGTATTGATTGAGTATTGATGAACAATACGATAACAGCAATCTCTCATGATTGAACAAACCCTGCATTGTGTCTGTCACAAAATCAAATGTAGCATACAACACAAACATACTTGACCAAACATTTTTTTCCAAGACATACAACAATGTATACTTTAATACAAAATAAAAGTCCATGGTTTGGAATCCCATATTAAAAACCAATATAACAGTCAGTGTAATTTCTTCCACACTTGTTGTGAAGGCAGGCTGTTTAAAAGGTGCATGATGCAATGGTTAATATTGAAAGGCATGATCCTTGTGTCGGTCCCCCGGGCCGCTCATCCTCCTACACGTTTAAGAATACACATTCAAAATTTATTAAGAAGTACAAAGAGTGAAACAAGATTAAAAACACCATCTGAGATAAAACTGCTGCACATGTAAACATCCTCTCTGGCACAGCGCTTCCAGTCCTATCAGAAGAACAGAGACGGACGCTCAGTTAGCGATCTTCTCGATTTCGTCCAAATCATCCGTGTCCAGCTTCTCGATTTTCTTATCTGTAGAAGACAGACAATTCAATTAACCCACATCCAGAACATGGCAGATCGACATATATGAACAGAATGGACCAAACGTTAAAGGGATACTCCACTTTTTTTTGGAAATAGGCTCATTTCACCACTCCCCCAAGACAGTTTCTGGTCGCATTGACTTCCATAGTAGGAAAAAAATATATACTATGGAAGTTAATGAGACCAGAAACTGTCTGGTTACTGATATTCTTCTAAATATCCAAAAAAAAAAAAAAAAGCTGAATTGATTCGAAAACGGTAAAACTCAACGGTTTAACTCTGGGGGAGTTGTAAAATGAGCCTATTTCCAAAAAAAGTGGAGTATCCCTTTAAAGCCTCAGCATGCAAATTAATATGAACACAAACTTTTCTATTTTAATACGTTGTAAAATGCATTTTATTTCAGTGATTTTAAACTTATGGCTCAAAAGAACAGCATTTATTTGAAATACAAATCTTTCATAATACTATAAATGATCACTTGTGATCAATGTAATGCATCTAAATGTCCTTGCAAAACAGCTTGTAAAAAATGTAAATAAAAGTGTCAAACTGAGCATTGCAGCTCAATTTTGTTCATTGATACTATTATATTAATAATATTAAATGCTTATGTTTCATAAAGAACATATTATGGATTTAACATTGGGTTATTAAGTGACTACCTTGTGCTATTGTGCAAATCCTTTGAAAAGTACATATTATTATTGTTTATTATAACACCTTCATAACCATGACATGCGTCTTGAATATGAAGTAGGGTTTATGCATGTTTGACAACTGTCATTAAGTGTCTTTCGCTCAATAACGACATTTTGAATGCAAATATGACATTGTTTAAAGGGCATATTGCAGGTTAGAGGACCCAACGAGTCAATGCATAGAAAAACAATGTAGGAACTAGATTTTCTTTAAAATATACGTATAAACACGCCACAGAAGCTTCTGCAGTCGTTTTTGTGAGAAAATTTTACTTCCGCGTCTGAAAATGGGCGTGGCGGGCGTGACGCAATGAGCGGGAGAGCGGTCGATTCACACAACAGGAAAACAATGAATCGCAATGACATTTCGGACGCTGAGGAAATACTCGTATGACGGATCAAGCCATAAAGTTATGAGCCTGCTATGCTAAAGAGATCAGGGACAGGCCAGGATAATGTCAGACAGAATGGTCAGAGAAAAATTGAGCTGTGATGTGAGGAGAACCAGTGGAGAACAGGACAGGTGCCTTTTAGGTGAGAGACGTGCTTATAGTATACACGTTCGCTAACGATATACACTGTGCTCACAATATTGTACAGATTATTATGATCCTATAACAGGCCAGCAGACATTAGTATGTTTAGGGTAGATTTATATACTATTAAATGTATAAAAACTTTACTTGAGTATATTTAAAAGCATAGGCTATACTCGGGTAAATTTTTAATACATATTTTTCACCTAGGTTATAACATAAACAGAACATTAAAGGTTTGAGTATTTAAACAACCAATTTTGTTTTTCAATTACAAGTTTTATTTAGGGCATGACATGACTAACTTACCTATATAACACTATTTGATGCCATTGGTAGTATACCACGATCAATATTCTTGCTTCGGCATACCATGTTGAACTCCATCATATTGCCGGGATGCTAATCATTTGATCTGAAGTGAACGCTACACACGACCGTGTTTTCCGAGCCGAGAGGAGAAATCCCGTCTCTTCACCTGCTCAAACCGCACCAGGAACGAAAGATAGGCTATATAGCACAGTCACTTTTATTGTAATGGAAACTTGTGGACTCAATCTTGAAGTCCTGACAGGCTGGAGTTTTTGCAATCTCCACAAACACAATATTTACCATGACGATGATAAATTAAAATGCAAAAACTAACGAAAGCACACTGACTGACGAGCGCTCTCACTGAACACCAGCCTGCTCTCCTCTGAGCCGAGGCTGCGGCTCCCTGATATGACGTCAAATGACGCGACGTTGAAAAAAAAGCCGTTTTTACTAGCAGTCCAAGAAACGCTCACTTTATCTTCTAAATTAGTGTCCTTATGTTGTTTTAAAACATTTTAAATCCTGCATTAACTTTTCATATGGTATTTTCATACAAGGTTATCTATAAATTTCGATTTTTTTTTTTACCTGCAATATGCTCTTTAAGATTTCTTTGTCATGACATCTTTACATAAAGCAATACATCATAACCTGTCAGTGTCTTTGTCATGACAACTTGACATTAAGTGAAGTTAATCTGTCATGTGGTTGGCTTTGACATTGGCTGTCATGAGGCATTATAACTGTGTCATGAATATATTCGTGTCCTCAACTACAGTGGTACTAATTGAATGTCATTAAAAAGTTATAATGTCTTCATGACAGCCAATGTCAAAACCAACCACCTGA